GTTCATTCTATGCATGAGTGATGATTCTTCTATCTCTAGCAAGAATCTAATCCCCATGTATGCATTAAGATCTAGAAATTCTAGGGCATCATTTCCGATTGAATGATCACCAACCGAATTGTGCAAATTATCTCTAACCTTGCACTCAATTCGGTTCTTGATTAGCAAATTCGAATTTCTATACTCTTTCTCAAGCAATCTAAAAACTCCAAGAAAGAAGAACAGTTTGGCCAAACAAAATTGAGATTGCCTAAATTCTTTCTCAAGCAATTCAGACATTACAAAGATTAAGATCAATTCGGCTAGCAGTTCTAACAATTAAATTTCTAATCAAGAAACATCAAAATTGAATCTAATCCATTCGAATAACCCTAGAGAACTAATTATAGATCTGAAATTACATGAAACATCATTCAATTACAACAAGAAAGATTGAATTAATGGAGAAAATAAACATGAAAGCCCTAGCTAAATTCGATTACCACTTGTGAAGAAATCAAGGAAGAAGACAACCTAGATTGATCTCTTCTAATGGCTTCTTCTCCAAATTCGAAATCAGCTTCTTCTTCTCTTGAATATTCTTGAATCTTCTCCTTTCTTCTCCTCTCTTGCGCCTATCTTTCTCTTCTCCCCAAAAGGAATTCGCCCCAAAAGGTTTTTGACCCCTTTTCCCCTCTTCCTCTTCTCCTTTTATAGCTTTCTCTTTAGCTCCTTTCTCTCATCTAGAAAGTTCTCTCATCTAGAAAGTTTGGTGCCTTTAGCCTCTCCTGAACCTTTTAGAAGTTGCTGCCCCTAGATTCTCTTGTGCTGCAATTTGGGCTGCTCTTGAGCTGCAAATGGGCCTCCTCCTTGCTGGCCCGAATAGGCTCCCTTGGAAGGCTGCGGTTGAGCTCTCTCTTTGGGCTCTCCCAAAGAGTGCTACATGGGCTTTAAGGGCCGAATAGCCCTCCTTTGACCTTTYGGCTGGGCCTTGATCCCAACTGGGCTGTATCACCTTCAATTTGGCCTCCTTTAGCATGATTTTATGCTCTTTTTCCCTAGACTTGTCCCCTTTGACAATTTCCTGAAATCAAGCTCAATTGGGGTAAGAATTCACACAAATCAGCATCAAAACCATGCATAAACACCAGACTTTATATGTAAATTGTGCACACATCAAAACACCCCCACACTTAAGCTTTTGCTTGTCCTCAAGCAAAGACATAACCCATAAACTGGTCATCCCCCCTTATTATTACCATTTATCGGATGAATTTTTGGATGAGAATGTATTGAGTGGTCAGGAAACTTATGTAAGTATTCTAATTCATTCCTATGAACTACCATTCTTATCACATACATAAGACCCAAGGAAGGGGAGAATATGAAATTCTTCATGCTCCAACATTCACTTCCATTCAATATGCAAATCAGCACCTTGGCCTCTTAAATTAACCGTTACTATGAGCTTGGTTTCAAATCTTTCACTACATCTAACTGAGTGTTCAACCACATTTTTGGTGTGAGTGCATTTTATGCTCCATCTCACACGGGGTATTTTCTTCTTTCTTCTTTTTCTTTTGGTTTTTTTTTTCTTTTGGTGTGAGTGCATTTTATGCTCCATCTCACACGGGGTATTTTCTTCTTTCTTCTTTTTCTTTTGGTGTGAGTGCATTTTATGCTCCATCTCACACGGGGGATTTTCTTATTTTTCTTTTTCTTCTTTCTTCTTTTTCAGTTATTGAACCTCATGCATTAACAGTTCAGATGTGAACTAGCTCAAATGATCATCAATTATTCAATCAAGTGCATTCTACACATGAAGGTAGCTAGGGCCAGTCATGCTGAAAGTCATATTCAGCTCCCTTAACCTCATGAATTGTGATAAGTTTGGATCATTCACAAGAATAAACTTAGACACTTACCTTGATTTCTCTTGAGTCAATGTATTCCCTCTAAGAATTCACCTAATAAACAGCAATAATTTAGGGGGAATTTCAGTCTATTCGGCCTGTCCATGCATGTTGTATGTGTTGGGATGAGTGAGGTGCATGGCTACAGCCTAATTCCCCCACTTAAGATGAACATTGTCCTCAATGTTCCTAGTGTTAGGGAGTGAAAATGAATCCAGCAATGAGGGTAAGGGCATGAAGAGCAATATCAAGTAAGGAGAGGGGTTGACAGGACTTCCTTGAAGATCATTCTGAATTTTACAATAGCTCCTTTGATGGGAAGCCCCTAGCTGCGAAAAATCACATAAAACTAGAGAGAGAACAGTAGCCTACCAATTTAACATCCTAACTAAGAAAAAAAAACTAAACTCAAATGCTAAGAATAAGAAAAGCAAAAAACAAACAAGAAAGTTTATGACAGCTCATCCAAAACTCGACAGTCTAGTGAAATCACCGGTCATCTAAGGATAAAGTGGATGGAGTAGGCAACATTCCTCCCACTATATATGGCTTGAGGTGCTGACCATTCACCTTAAATGTGCCCTGTGCCGGGTGGGTGACCTCTATGGGTCCATAGTGGAAAACTTGTGTGATGGTGAAAGGTCCAGACCATCTCAATTTCAGCTTGCCCGGGAACAACAGGAGACGGGAATTATACAACACTTGCTGGCCCACATGGAAATCATGTCTCAACAAGTTCCTATCATGCCATCTTTTAGTTCTCTCCTTGTAAACCTTGGCATTCTCATAGGCAGCAAGTCTGAATTCATCCAACTCATTCAACTGCAGCCACCTCTCTACTCCTGTGGCCTATGAATCAAAATTCAAGAATTTTAGTGCCCAATATGCCTTATGTTCCAATTCAACTGGTAAATGACATGCTTTTCCAAAAACTAACCTGTCGGGAGACATGTCGATGGTGTTTTATATGCAGTTCTGTATGCCCATAATGCATCATCTAATCTAATTGCCCAGTCTTTCCTAGCAGAGTCTACAGTCTTCTCCATAATTCTCTTGAGCTCCCTATTAGCTAATTCTACTTGGCCACTGGTTTGAGGGTGATATGGGGTAGCTAATTTGTGTCTAACACCGTATTTTTGCATCAGCTCCCTATTTTTGCATCTCCAAATCGGGTGAATAGCTTTTTCAGGAAATGTACTACCCTCCTAGAGTCATTTGTGGATAAATCCGTGGCTTCCACCCATTTAGATACATAATCAACTGCCACTAGGATGTACATATTGCCAAAAGAATTCGGGAAGGGTCCCATGAAGTCTATACCCCAAACATCAAAAATTTCACAAATCAGAATATTAGTGAGGGGCATTTTGTTCTACCGGGAAATGTTACATGCTCTCTGACATTGATCACATGCGGACACATGTCTATGAGCATCCTTGAACAAGGTAGGCCAATAGAAACCGGATTGCAAAACCTTGGCTGTAGTGCGGTTGGCTCCGAAGTGGCCTCCCGCTTCTCTATCATGGCAGTACTGGAGCACCAACTCCATCTCCTCCTCAGGGACACACCTCCTTATGATCTGATCTACACATAGCTTGTACAAAAAGGGATCCTCCCACAAATAATATTTGACATCAGAGAAGAATTTCTTCTTCTGCTGATATGAAAGATGAGGAGGGATAACATGTGTAGCAAGGTAATTTGCAAAATCAGCATACCAAGGTGATGAATTTATCTAAATGGAGTAGAGTTGTTCATCCGGAAACTCCTCTTGGATGTTGTTGATTGTCTTTTCCTCTAAATCCGCATTATCTAACTGGGAAAGATGATCAGCAGCTAGGTTCTCGGTGCCCCTCTTGTCACGGATCTCAACATCAAATTCTTGCAACAAGAGGATCCACCTAATCAGCCTCGGTTTTGCATCCTTCTTGGCGAGTAGGTGCCTTAATGCCGAGTGATCTGTATACACAATAACTTTGGACAAAATCAGATATGAACGAAACTTATCAAAAGCAAGGATTACCACTTGTAGTTCCTTTTCGGTTGTGGTGTAATTCTGTTGAGCACCATTCAAAGTTCTGCTAGCATAGTAGATTGGCTGAAAGTGTTTGTTCAATCTTTGTCCTAATACAGCTCCTACGGCTGAATCACTCGCATCACACATCAGCTCAAATGGAAGTGTGCAATCCAGTGCTATCATAATGGGTGCATTGATCAGTTTGTCCTTTAGGATGTAGAATGCTTGTAGACATTCAGTTGTGAACTCAAAGGCCACCTCCTTCTGAAGCAAAGTGGACAATGGCTTAGCTATCTTGGAGATGTCCTTGATAAATCTTCTGTAAAACCCGACATGTCCCAAGAAGCTTCTCACAGCTYRGACTGATGTTGGTGGTGGCAATTTCTCAATTGTCTCCACCTTGGCTCTGTCAACCTCAATACCTCTCTGTGAAATCTTGTGCCCAAGCACGATGCCTTCTTGCACCATGAAATGGCACTTCTCCCAATTCAGCACTAGATGTGACTCCTTGCACCGCCTAAAAACCTTCTCCAAATTGTTTAAACATGCACCAAATGAAGAGCCAAAGACTGAAAAATCATCCATAAAAACCTCCATGAACTTTTCAACCATATCAGAAAAGATTGACATCATACACCGCTGAAAAGTTGCTGGAGCATTACACAATCCAAATGACATTCTTCTATAGGCAAAGGTACCGTAAGGGCAAGTGAAGGTGATCTTCTCTTGGTCTTCTGGTGCAATTGGAATCGAATTGTAACTTGAATACCCATCCAAGAAATAGTAGTACTCATGCCTGGCCAGGCTCTCTAACATTTAGTTAATAAACGGGAGAGGGAAGTGATCCTTGCGTCTGGCTTCATTCAACTTTCTGTAGTCAATGCATACTCTCCACCCGGTGACAATTTTAGTCAGGATGAGTTCATTTCATTCATTCGGAACAACGGTCATGCCACCTTTCTTCGGTACTACTTATACGGGGCTCACCCATGAACTGTCAGAGATAGGATAAATAATCCCAGCATCTAGGAGCTTAATGATTTCAGCCTTCACCACCTCTTTCATGTTTGGGTTCAGGCATCTTTGGGGCTGAACTGAGGGCTTGCTGCCATCTTCCATCAGAATTCTATGCGTGAATACCGATGGGTTGATGCCCTTGATGTCGGCTACCTTCCAAGCCAATGTTGTCTTGTGTTCCCGTAACACTCTCAACAGTTTTTCTTTTTGCAAAGGGCTCAATGCTGCTGATATGATTACCGGTAGATCTGATGATGCCTCTAAGAAAGCATACTCCAAATGTTGTGAAAGTTGCTTCAGCTCAAGGGTGGGAGGTTCTTGGGTTGAAAGCTTGCTTGTTGGTATTGGCAATCCGTCCAAGCTCTCCAACTTGAGAAATCCCTTCCCTTGAAATTGTGGATTGGCATTCAGGTATGCTATCATGCTTTGAATCTCCTCATTTTCATCTCTTGTAGCTCCTCCCTCTTGTATGCAAAGGTTAAGGGGGTCGGCCAACCAACTAACATGAAAGCAATCTTCAACCGCATAGTCAATAACATCAACCATGTAACAAGAATCATCACTAGAAGATGCATGTTTCATGGCATTAGACATTTTAAAAATTATTTCCTCATCTTGAATCCTAAGGCTGAGTTGCCCTTGTTGGACATCAATCATTGCTTTCCCCGTAGCTAGGAAAGGTCTTCCTAGGATAAGAGGAACATCAACATCCTCTTGCATGTCTAATACAATGAAATCAACTGGAAAGATGAATTTATCTACTTTGGCAAGCACATCTTCTATGATTCCCCTTGGATGTTTTATGGATCTATCAACTAGCTGCAATGCAACTCTAGTGGGTTGGGTATTCCCAACCCCAATTTCTTGAAAACCGAATATGGCATCAAGTTTATGCTAGCTCCTAAATCACATAATGCCTTTTCAATTTTTAAACTGCCTATCGTGCATGGGATAGTGAAACTCCCTAGATCTTTAAGCTTCTGGGGAAGCTTGTTGAGAAGGATTTCCAAGTATTCTTCATTGAGAGCAACTGTAACCACTTCACCCAATCTCCTTTTGTTTGCCAACATCTCCTTCAAGAATTTTGCATAGTGTGGCATCTAGGCTAAAGCATCAGCAAAAGGAATATTAATATGTAAACTTTTAAACGCTTCAAGAAACTTACCAAATTCTTTCTCCAATTTGTGTTGCTTCAGCCTATTGGGAAAGGGAACTTGCGGCTGTTGGTGTCTTGCTTGCTACAGTTCAGATTGCTCCTCCTTCTTGTTTCCAGTTTCAAGGGTTGCATCTGCCTTGTTTTCATCCCTTTCTTTCTTCTCTACTTCCGGCAGCTCCTTACCACTTCTTAAAGTGATAGCCTGCACTTGTTCTCGTGGATTCACTTCTGTGTTGCTTGGTAGAGTGCCCGGTATTCTTGCTGAAATCATTTGCGCCAACTGCCCAACCTGATTCTCCAAGTTCTTTATTTTAGCCTCTTGGTTCTGAAATCTAGTTTCAGCACTGACTATGAACTTGGTCATCAGCTCCTCTAGGTTAGATTTCTTTTCCGGCTGATGGAAATTTTGGGGAAAGGGCTTCGGCCCATGCTGATTTGGCCATGACTGATTCGGGTAGCCCCTCCATCCGGGGTTAAAGGCATGGTGGTGCTGATTTCCTTGCTGCCTTGCAAAGTTTCCAACAAAGTCAACATGTTCTGTGGACTACATAAACTGATTGCCAACTTGGCATTCAGTGCTGATGTGGCCTCCCCCACACCAATCACATGTCACGGACTGCACATTCCTGGCTGCCATCATCATCACTCACCCCATTATGCTTGAAAGTGTCACAAATCTCCAAGAAATTGGCTATGTGAGAGTTTGGATCTTCATGAACCACCCCACAAAACTGAATTGTGTTTTGGATCATCTGAATTATGGCTGGTTTGATCTCAAAATTATTAGCAGCAATGGTTGGTCTTACAATGCTTGAAGCAGCTATGGTTAGGGTTGGTTTGGCATAGTCCATCATAGTCCTTGGTTCGGCCATCTCTTCAATTTCAGCTCTAACTTGTCTAGCAGCTCTTAAGCGGATGCGGAGGGTTCTTTCAATCTCCGGGTCGTAAGGGACTTCCTCTGGTTCAGGTCTGCTTGTAAAACTACACCCCACCGTGCTGATATACAGGATTGGACAAGGTTAGCAGCCTAATATATATACAGTCGGCCAGAAGAAGGAAAAAAAATTTCTAATTTCAGCAATGAAGATTAATATACACTGATCTGAATATCAGCAATGAAGGTATAAGATTTTTTTTTTAAAATGTACAGAACTGAAATCAGCTACAACAGTATTTTTTTTTCTGTGTGCTCAGATCTGATTTCTAATTTCAGCAGTGATAGTTAATATATACAGATCTAAACTACACCATTTTTATAAGGTATCCAGAAAAAAATTCAACAACCAAAAACTAAGCAAATCAGCAATAACAAAGAAAACTACAGAAATCATAAATGAAGGTTACTATATACAGAACTGAATCCTACTACTAATCAAAAATATATCAAGTCAAAAATCTGTCAAGTCTTGAAATGAAATCTGCAACCTATGTTCTATAGAAAATACATTCTATACTACTGAATCAAGTCAGAAATGAATTCAGAAATCTATCAAATCAACATTAGAATCAATGAGCTACACTCTACAGAAACAAGAATAGCAATCCTAAACTAGAAGCATTCGGCAAGAGGAAAGAAATCAGTAATGTAGGTGAGTGTGTGCAGATTTGAACTATAATGTATAGAACTAGAACTACATCTATCGGCTACACTACTGAACTAGAATAGCTATATTAGATTTTTCTCTCTATGTGCTCATATCTGAATTTTGATTCCAGTAATGACAGTAATGTATACAGATCGGAACAACACTATTTTTATAAACTATGCAGAACTAAAATGCAGCTACACTACTAAGACAAAAACAGCAATCACAGATGAAGCAACTCAGCAATGGAAAAGAGAACTACCTAGATCA